CCTATTCGATCTTGGATGATCTGCCCACCTCTCCCTGAGAAGAGAGTTCCCATCATCGTAGTTTATAAAAGATTCTCAACCTACCTCTTGATCCTTCCAAAACCCAGCATACGCCATCCTGATACACACAGCCAAGACAACCTCAAATAAAACCACAGCATCGCTATAATCCTTATCGTTCCTTGGATCGACGGTGAGTGAAGAGACGTAAAAATAACTAAACAACCAGTCCAATAGTTCAAAACTATAACTTGGGCCGCTATCAGCCACAAACAACTCGACGAAAAGTTTATTTGATACCAGTAAGTTTAAACAGGCTTTCCAAACGTGGTAGCGAAGAGTTAGGTTCGCAAGAGGTCTGATACAGTCTTGCTGGTGTTTTCCTGTTGTCTCCTCTTGAGGCTCTACTGGTGAACGAACACGAACGTCAATGTCACTTTGATTCCTCGTATCCTCTTGGATTTTATTATTCAAGCGTTGATCATGAAATGAAGAAGCGTTTCTTTTTTGTTCTGTTTTGCTATCATCCTCTTGGATACCTTCTTGCGTAGCATTTGTAGTGCTTTCAGTTTTAATCTTACTTAGTTCTATTTTGGCAGTATCTCTTAACAGGACTAGAAACGCGCGAATAGCAGTGGCCAACTCCTCTTTACTTGTGCTTTCCTTTTCCTCACATTCAAGCTCCTCATCTTTAGTCTTAACAGTTTTTACCTTCTGAACAGAATTAGAACGATCTTCTAAAGACGCCAGGAATTCAAATACTTCAATAACTAGCGGTTGTAGTTCTTCTTCCTCTAGAAACATCTGCAACTGTGTCAGCCCTCCACAGCTGAAGAACAACCCTTTAGAGGAACTACTGACAAGAAGCGACGGCAAATACCCCAGCAACAGTCTTAAGACATCCTTGGTAAGGTAACATGAACTCGATTGCGACCTTGTTGTTCGTTCTTCTGGAAGACTTATCTTCTCGCGGCTAAGGCAAGTGGAATCGGGTAAATCACTCCCTTTGCTTGGATAATCAGCTTGCACAGGAGATGACTTATTTCGCCGTGAATCAAAGCGGAAGATTGACGGAAGAAGCACAATTCGAAACAGCTCGTCTTTCAGGTTCACAGAGCCCAGTACAACAAGAGGTTTGAGTGACTTTGCTGTTTCAAAGGCTAACACCGAGTCACCACTCGTTAACAATGAACAATATTGTGATAAACAAGACCACGAGGGATACTCTTGTGGGATTCGTGTTACGTGTCTTGGAGACCGCGCAAGCATCTCTCCCCAGACTCCACCATTTCCTTTAGATGGACTTGACTTTGGGGATTTTGAATAGACTTTTTTGGTTCTTGTACGGGATGTGTTCTGAGCATTCGTTTGGGTTTCCTGTGGTTTAGGGGTTACAAATGGATCGTCAAGAGCTGTCAGGATCAATTGGTTAATCAATCGAAGAATCTGCGTCTGTAATAATCGAGGACGTTGAAAATATCTACCAACAAGGAAAAGAAGCGTTAACTTAACATGTAGTCCTAGTTATAGTTAAATCAATAGTGTCAAGTATGCTTACCTGGTCAACAATGGGCCGATCAGATCATCGGGTTTAATGCAGCTACAGACACCTACTTTACCGAGACAAGTGATGACTTGACATGAGAGGTACTGAGTCTTACTTGCCTTGAACATGGTAAGTAATGATGTAACGGGTATCAAGATGTGACACTGATCACCTGGGGACACAATCAACACTAGATAAGTTCAACGTTAGCCACTAGTATCAAGATGTGACACTGATCACCTG